TAACTTTCAGGACAAGAAGCCTGACAAAATACAAATAATAAATGCCTCAATATATATAACTTTCAGGACAAGAAGCCTGACAAAATACAAATAATAAATGCCTCAATATATAACTTTCAGGACAAGAAGCCTGACAAAATACAAATAAGAAATGGCTCAATATACAACTTTCAGGACAAGAAGCCTGACAAAATACAAATAATAAATGCCCCAATATACAACTTTCAGGACAAGAAGCTTGACAAAATACAAATACTAAATGCCTCAATATACAACTTTGAAAGTTGTATATTGAGCCATTTCTTATTTGTATTTTGTCAGGCTTCTTGTCCTGAAAGTTATATATTGAGGCATTTATTATTTGTATTTTGTCAGGCTTCTTGTCCTGAAAGTTATATATTGAGGCATTTATTATTTGTATTTTGTCAGGCTTCTTGTCCTGAAAGTTGTATATTGAAGACAAGAAGCCTGACAAAATACAAATAGAGATTATACCTCTACTAATGCTAATTATGCCTATCATCATAAGATATCTATGTTCTATTACACACACACTACAGAACGTAATATCACCAAAAATCAGAGAATGTGTCAATATTACTATAGGTCAGAGAATGTGTCACTATTACTATAAGTCAAAGAATGTGTCAGTATTACTATAGGTCAGAAAATGAGTTAGTATCAGTATAGGTCAGAGAATAAGTCATTATCAGTATAGGCCAGAGAATGAGTCAGCATCAGTATAGGTCAGAGAATGAGTCAGTATCAGTATAGGTCAGAGAATGAGTAAGTATCAATACAGGCCTCAGGATGTAGCAGTATCAATACAGGTCTACAGCCCATTCCTACTATTACTGGGAAATTGTTTTTTTTTTCATATTATTATTTTTTACCTAAATTTGAAGGTTAGCTAATAGAAAAATCTACTATGAAGGATCTAATCTGTTAAGTCCCTTAAGTAAGTTGTGTTGTGATGACTACAGAGTAAAATAAAACTAGATTTGTATTATTTCCATCCCTTAAGTAAGTTGTGTTGTGATGACTACAGAGTAAAATAAAACTAGATTTGTATTATTTCCATCCCTTAAGTAAGTTGTGTTATGATGACTACAGAGTAAAATAAAACTAGATTTGTATTATTTCCATCCCTTAAGTAAGTTGTGTTATGATGATTACAGAGTAAAATAAAACTAGATTTGTATTATTTCCATCCCTTAAGTAAGTTGTGTTATGATGATTACAGAGTAAAATAAAACTAGATTTGTATTATTTCCATCCCTTAAATAAGTTGTCTGATGATTAAGGAGTAAAAATAGATTTGTTTCCATCACCCAAGTAAGTTTTCTTATAACGACAACAGAGTAAAACCAATTTGTTTTATTTCCATCACCTGAGTTAGTTGTCTTATGATGACTATGGAATAAAATCTGACTTGATTTCTTTCTGTTGCCTGAGTTAGTTGTCTTATGATGACTATGGAATAAAATCTGACTTGATTTCTTTCTGTTGCCTGAGTTAGTTGTCTTATGATGACTATGGAATAAGAACCCCATCATCCATGTCCAACGTTTTATTTATTTCTATTTATAAGGCAAAGAAATGTTTTAGATAGCATTTCTTTTATTTCATTTTTAACACCAAGCATTTATTGTACAATGTATGGATACTAGACTAAGGGCAAGTGAAATCAGCAGTGCTACATGAAATGGATTAAATACTTTTCAGATAATAGACAAGAATATTACAATCAAGAACTTTTAGTGATATAACTTTATTTTCTATGCCTTGTAATGCTAAGATTTTGTCTTCATTAACAGTCATAAACTGTTACTTTGCTATGAGTAACCTTTGTTATTGGTTATAAGCACGACTTACTGTTTAAGTTTGTATTTTTTCAATTTGGCTGACACTAAGTCCTTCATTAAAAATTCATGTAGCATCTAATACTGTGATCTCCCTTTTTAAAGGTTAAAAAATAAATCTTAATCAGTTCATACAAGCAAAAAGGTCTTTTTGATGTATGTGTCAACATTTAACACTGGAAAGAGCCGGTCATTTAAATTAAAACCAACTCAGTGGTTAGTAGAATGCACTACTAACACTGTTAAAGGTTACTATTCACTGATTGCTATCGTATCTTTCACTCAGCTACAGACTTGTCTTTCATCAACAACAAAGTCGCATAAAAATAGCGAATAAACAAGAGAATAAAACATTTATTGATTTAAAACTTCTGGTTTATACCTATGTAACTGCATACTCAAATAATCCTAACAAAAATCTAATTCAGTTGATGATGTCAAATGTTAAAGTCTTAAAAAATAAGGGTTGTTTAATTTATTACAAGATCTCTACATAAGCAGCCATGCTTTACTTTGTCACAAAAAAAGAAAGGTGACTGTTGTTTTTTCAAGTTTGATAATCCAATTATCACTAATTGCTCACAAATGATCTTAAGCCAAGATGCTGCCTTCATTCGTACATTATTAAGTTCACTGAGAAACAGCCACTCATCTATACAAACATTTTTTGCACCACAGAATCATACAGTTCTAACCAACTGCGTGTCATTTGCCTCGTAGAGCAGTTTCTAAATGTCCCCTTTCAACAGCTAATTTCATGGCAGAATGAAATTCTGCCTCTAAGTCATGTAACCGAGGTATTGGTGCCGTAGCTCGTAAACTCTGTTCATCACTAGGATCCAAAAGCTTTCCCAAAAAGTCCTGAAGTTGTTGCTGTTTTTCATCTGTTACAAAAAATATTCAAATGAATATGCTTACTGCAATACTAAAATTTTAAAAAGTTTTCACTGTTATTTTAGCAATATTTGTAAAGTATTGTTGTAAGGTTACTTTTTTCATTCAAAACATCAAAACTTTAGCTGTCCATTTAACATTTGTTTCTTCTTCAATACTTTTAAAAGAAGGAGATTCAACAATCATGACTCTTGATTAATATCTTATATAAAATAAAAATAAACAACATTTACACAGAAGTTTCTCAAAATCTCCAAACTGCAGTTTGTTTGTTAGTAAGAACAGCTACACATTGAGCTGTACATGCTGTGCCCAATAAAACAAGAAGCAAACATCTCTGACATACATGCACCAACTTTAGGAAAACTTATAACTCCATCAACTAATTCATGAATAAAAACATACAACTGCCAATGGTCAACTAAACATATTTTAAGGAATTTTGCAACAACAAAAAATTACAAATACTAAATAATTGTTTTTTCTTGATGTATAAACTATATACCATCTGAAGAGTTTATAACAAATTACATGCAAGATGGCTGATTATTTTTTTACTGTGAAAGCTGAAAGAACATGGAATATTAGTATAAGGTCTTCCCTCTTTAATATATTTACCACTCTCCTCAGAAGTATGAAAGTTAATGTAAATTACTCATTATAATTTAATATTTTCAAAACAAAACCCCAAAACTCCTAGAGAAGAACAGTCAACTATTCGAAAGCGCTCAACTTTTTGGTCTTGTTTTGAAAATAACTTTTCAGGTGATCCTGTGTGCTAACTACTTAACCTGGATTCATTATAATGTAGATATTACTAAAGTAAAGTCTGATTTTTATAGCCTTCAATCTTACACAGCTATAAACTAGCTGTCACATCCTCTCTTTCACAAATTGTCAATAGTTCTCTCTGATGTTTTATACCATATTATTTATAACCAATAGAAAGTTAAAGTTTGGATCTATCATATGACATATTATGTTGTTTTCTGTACAGAGTAGCCTATTTTGCTTCCATTTTGAAAACTTCTCTTGCAGTATTCACATTGACAAACTTCACTACATTTTTAAAGGCTCTTATCACACAGTTATAAAGCCAGAAAAATTATGATAGTTATAGGATATTGTTTGTTTTGTGCATGTTATTATTTTGTGTTCTAATGTGCATTATTTGTTTGAATAAAAATTAATTAATGTATTAGTACAATAAAAAAAAGTAGGCTTAACTTTCATTGACAGTCAACAGCAAAAAAACGACACGTAAGTCAGTGTAAGTTCAGTAAAACCCCGATTTTATGGGCCCCGAGTTAATGCAAATTCGGATATAACGCGATGGGTCATTAACTCTTCCAACACGAGCTCGGTCCCTGGGACTGACCTCATAACCATAACCTCGTTATAGTTTACATACTAATAACTTTAATATTTTAAGTGTATCTTTACAAAATTTTGTAGACTTGTAG